AGTAGCAGAAAACCCCACTTAAACTGGCCGAACCAATAAGGTGACACAGTCGGCTCAGGTGACTTCAAAGAACAAAGAGAAGGCCCTTCTGCGGGCATGATTTGCTCAGGACTTCAGCTCTGCATCTCGGTAATTCTCTCAGCTCTGCTCTTTTTTGTGTGTATTTGTTTTTTGTCCTTGGATTGGCTTTGCCATTTTTCGGCAGCAAAATGACTGTCAGCAGTCACAGGCGACGCATTTGCTCTTCCACATTCATTGAACAAATATCCTGCCCTATGTTCTGACTCCATTATCTTAGGTCACAAATTCACCGCCGTGTCAATCCTCATGGCGGTGGTGGTCAGTGCCATAGGGGTGGGGGGAGTGACTCCTCTCCTCCATCTCTCTTTCCTCCCCCTTGGTCTCCAGGTCCAAGTGGATTCTTCCAGGAGCAGAAGAGATGCCGGTCCTTGTGTCAAGGTCCACACGGGGACCTGATAGATAGACTTACAGCCACAGTGCACTGTTCACGCTGCTATACATAAGGAAATACATTGAAAACAAAGACACAGGAGCAAAGTCACCCTACAGACCCCCTCACATTCTGCCCGTTGCCTGGCATTACGGCTGCAGCTGCCACAGCAACCTCTGCTACACTGAGTGTTCTGAACACCATGGAACTCGGCTTTCCTCTCAGAAGTTCAGAGTAAGAGGGAGCAGTTATAAGAGGGAAGTGAGTGAGGTAGAGAAGATATGTTGGGTGGGCAATTTAGTCCATGCTCATTTCTGTATACTCGCTCACCTCCTGTAGTGAAACCCTTATTTCTAACATCAAGGGAAATGTTCCTTTCAACGCTTTAAAAATTTTTAATAAATACTTTTCCTTTCAGCTCTTGTCCTCCAGCTCCGCCTTCCCCTTGGGGAGCTAAGCAATTACTGTGATCACCGTGAGGCTGGGGGGGGACCAGACCCTTTCCTAATACCTTAGTCATTACTTGTAATAGACTGGGATTCCGAATGGACTGGACTTAGAAAAAGGGGAAAGGAATTATGCACAAAGAGAACTAGGTACTAGGGCTCAGGGCTTTCTCAATAGACCACTGGCAGGGACCTCTCTGCCCAGTGGCTGCTGCCACCGTGTGGCAGAAATCCTTTCCCCTCACCACCCGAGCTTGCTCTCAGTTACAGGTGGTGTTTGCAGCCCAATTTCCCGTCTGCTTCTTTCCTCTGCCTCTTCCGGCATCGCTTTATGCCTCGGCGCTGCCTTTTCCCAAGATCAGGGCTTGGCAAACTTTTGAGATGCGACAGGCCCTCCTGCCCCTCACAACAATTTAGAAATTATTCAAGAGCCTTAAGTAAACCTTTGCAAACAAATGAAGTCACCATGATCTGAATAATAATATCCTTAGAAAAATTTCAATTTTACTTCAGAGCCCTGTATACGTACTGGAAGAGCCACACAGGGCTCTCTGGCCTAGACGATGGTGACTAGGGGGGATGTCCAGTCCCTTCAGGGACCACCCCTTCTTTTAGTCCTTTCAGTCCAGGTAGCTGCAACCTCATCAGACCATGACCCACAGTCCAACATCAGTAAAACAATGCGGGAGTAGCCCCCGGTCAACGGTCTCCTCCCGTCCACCTGATATTATTTCTAAATAAAGAGAGCACTCCGAAAGAAACTGTGGTCTAGATGCAAGAATCTGCTCGTCAGTGGTGGAATGATAGGCACACATGACGTGGTAACGTTGGCATTTAGGGGTAGGCTTACAGTTGCGCTCTTGAAAACCCACCAGGGCAGTTCTACCCCGTCCCACAGGGTCTCTATGAGTCAGCATCGAGTTGATGGCCATGAGTTTGGAGTTTTAATACTTGCTCAGATCAGCACTCACCTTCAACACTAGAGGATGGTTGGGCAGAGCAGCCTCACTGTCTGGGAATGTGCCTGAAAGCGACAGACACTCTGAATCATGATGAAGGCCGTGAATCACGGGCATCTGTTAACGCCTTTGATGCCACGCCTCTAGCACTCACAATGTTCTCTGGCAGAGGATACAACAATGGATTAGTGCGCTCTGTCCTCTCTAGCAGTTCACGGTCAACTGGGGAAGAAGGCTCATAGACACATCATTCCATTACAAGCGGTCTCAGACTATGTTGGAGACGTGATTAAAATGCCAGCGAGGTAAGCTAGAGGGACATCGCGTGCTGCAGGTGACAGCTGAAGCAGGTTCTTAGAGAAACCGAAGAAACCCAAGCCGATTGCCTTCTAGTTGTTTCTGACTCATGGCAACCCAGAGAAGCCGCTCTTGATAAAGGGGAGTCACGGTGACCTTTGACCTCGGTTCTTCCATTCACTGCTTGCTCTTGCTTCTGGCATCCCAGATGTCCATCCACTCTCCAGGAGAGCTCTCATGGCCTCCGCCTCAGCCTCATTGACATTAATCCATCATTGACCTTGATCTTGACAAGGAGTGGGTGGGAGTGGAGGGGAAACTAGTTCTCCCTCCAAAGTGCCACTGATATCCCTACCAGCCCCGCAGCCATCCCGAAGAAGTCTACAATAGGAGCAAAACTTGTGTGCTTGCTGTCCCAGTGTAGTGTGAATGCACTCCACCACCTCTTTCCTCCGTCTCTCCAAGTTGCCACTTCCTGGAAGATCAGAAGTTCCGACTGTAGAAAGTCAAGTCCTTTCTTTTTCATTCATGTCAGGCAAGCTTTCCAAAGTGATCTACTCGGGATCTGAAGGGATAAATAAATGGAAGTGAAATCCAGTAAAGAGGGAGAAACAGTGATTGGACCCAGAGTGGGGAATTCAGGTAACCAAACCTTAACCCTAGCTTCGCAGCTGACATCCTTGCTTGGGCATAGGAACCCTGAGAGACTCTGATGTCCTATGTCCATATTGTGTGGTTGTTCTGCAAGTGTCGACATGGGTGGGGCTCAGAGAACACGCTGGTGTGGTGTGATTTCCCTAGAGCCAGCCAGTTCCCTCTGACTCTGTTAAGTCACTTCTGATCTCTGAGCTGCAGCCTCTTGTGGTTGGGACACATCCATCGGCCAGTGCTTCAGGTAGGCAGTCACCCTTGCTTGCCAGGACTTTCTTTGAGGGAGTGGGGCTTGGCCTGACCATATCCTAGAGTCTAGACAATGCATCCATTTCTTTGGAATCCGAGGCTTTCTATTACATTTCATTTCCTGCCTCCTCCTCCATGGACCGGGTACTCAGCTTTGATCTCATTATCTGCCTGCAGTTGGTAATAAGGTGCCTACAGCTGCCTCCTTTGATCCTTGGGTCCTCCTCTCTTTTGTGGAGCAGAGGTTTACAATCCCTCAGTTTGATCTTTGTTGATTTGTCCTAAGATGCTGTGTTCTGTGAAAATGCAAGTGCTTACAGAAAGAGAACATACTACAATGTATGCATACAAATGAACTCGCCACAGAATCTCAGGCCTCAAAGCAACCTGGAGTAAAATTAAAAATTTTAGTTGCTTTGTTCCTCACAATTTCAGATAAGAAAATGGAAGCCTAGAGAGGTAAAAGGACTTATCTAAGGTCCCATAGCTTCCTGTTGATTGAATCAAGTCTAGATACTAAGATGTCTTTATTTCTCACCTGGGAGACCTTTTCAAACCTTTTCAGACGTGTCTATGGAGAGCTAAGGACCCGAGGGACCCCTTGTTAGTTTCCTGGGTCGAGAAGGCAGCGCTTTTGTCCTACAGCAGCTGAGCTTTGGTCAGTTTAAAATATTGGACTTCTGAAAAGATATTATTTCCACAAAGTGTTTCACAGTGGAAAAAATGAATATTTGAACACTCCCAGGCTATTCTGAGGATGCTTAGGAGGCCATTTCAGGGGCCAAAGTGGAGACTTCATCCTCACAAATGCTGAACATTCCTTTAGGCAGAGGACCAAAGCGTTTTGCTTATTTCAAGTCAAGGCTTAGAAAAAAAAAAGTCAAGACTTATAAAATGCTTCTAATGCAATTTGTTGCTGTCACTTCCTTCCCCTAGTAGGTTTTACGAAAGGTAAAGAAGACTCAGGGAGGGCAAATTACACAAAAAAGATCCTGTAAGAGCAGGTTATGGGCTCCAACGTAGGACCATGGTGGGGATGGCCCAGCACTGAGCAGCGCTTCCTTCTATTGGCCACAGGGTTGCCATGAGTCAGAACCAACTGGATGGTACCCAACAACAACAACAACAACAACAACAACAACAACAAAAGAAACAAGTTTGTTTCTCTTCATTTTGTTTAATGTTGGCCTGCCTCTAAATGCATAACCCTGACCTGGTCCTGTGCATTTAAAGGATGGGGAAGGCCAAAGAGGGGACTCAGGTAGTGTTGAGGCAGTTATAAGGCCCAAAAAGGGCACACCTTTTCCCCTAGTGCCCAGTGTCTTTGAAAGTAGATGTTGGGGGTAGGTGGGGGGAAGCGTTGGGGAAAAAAAAGAAAATAGATGTTGCTCATCAAATTGGCCTTTGTGGTTTATCTTCATCAGATTTTTAATCAGGGTAAACGTGTTGCACCCAGGTACTGAATATGTTAGGATTCTTTTGATTGCAAAGGACAGAAATGGAGTGAAACCAATTGAAGCAAAGCTGAGACTGTGTTGGTTTCTACGGGACGAGGAATGAGCTGAGATGGCTTGAGATTGTGAGTGACGTACAGAGATGGGATTGCAATCGAGGATGAGATTGGGATCAGGGAATACAGGCCCTCCTCTTTTCCATCTCATCCAATATTTGAGTTTACAACACTGTGAAGCCAACTTCTAGAGAAGGCCAGGTTGAAACCGGAGGTTAGGGTGGGGTTTTCTGGCTGTCGAGCCAACAGAGAAACTAAAGATATTCCAGTTACTGTTGGTACATCTTGGATAAGAATGACTTGAATCTGAGTTACTAAAGTCACATTTCTTTCCTTCTAATATTTCAGATAGACCAAACCATGATTGATTTAAAAGAAAATACGTACTCTGTTACTGATCTACTGAGCTGGTTTGATGAGAACTTAAACTCACTGGCATGCCACCTACAGAAATAGATTTTAGTCCCTGTATTACAGAAACTGAAGTGCTCAACAATGATGCTTTGGTCACCATCTATGCCCTGGTGTTCCTGCTGAGCCTGCTGGGAAATTCTCTGGTGATGCTGGTCATCTTATACAACCGGGTCAGCTCCTCTGTCACAGATATCTACCTGCTGAACCTGGCTATGGCTGACCTGCTCTTTGCCCTGACACTGCCCATTTGGGCTGCTTCCAAGAAGAACGGCTGGACTTTTGGCACACCCCTATGCAAGGCGGCCTCACTCGTGAGGGAAGTCAACTTCTACAGTGGGATCCTACTACTGGCCTGCATCAGTATGGACCGTTACCTGGTCATTGTCCATGCCACGCGCACACTCATCCAGAAGCGCCACTTGGTCAAGTTCATCTGTCTGGCCATCTGGACATTGTCCCTGATTCTGTCCCTGCCCATAGTCCTCTTCCGCAAGACTGTCCACCCAGACCATTCCAGCCCAGACCATTCCAGCCCAGTCTGCTATGAGGACATGGGTACCAATACATCAAACTGGAGGCTGGTGCTCCGGTTCCTGATCCACATCTTTGGCTTCATGCTGCCACTGCTGGTCATGCTGTTCTGCTACGGATTCACCCTGCACACACTGTGTAAGGCCCACATGGGGCAGAAGCACAGGGCCATGAGGGTCATCTTTGCCGTGGTCCTCATCTTCCTGCTCTGCTGGCTTCCCTACAACCTGGCTCTACTCACAGACACTCTCATGAGGATTGGGGTGATTCAAAAGACCTGTGCATGTCGACAGGACATTGACCATGCCCTGGAGGTCACCGAGATTCTGGGCTTCCTCCACAGCTGCCTCAACCCCATCATCTATGTCTTCATTGGCCAGAAGTTTTGACATGGACTCTTCAGGCTCATGGCCACCCATGGCCTGATCAGCAAGGACTTCTTGGCCCGCCATCACCTTACCTCTTCTATCAGTGGTTCTGTCAATCCCTGAAGCTATCCATTAAAAAAAAAAAGTAAAAATCTCATCTTTGTAAGAAAATAATTGACTCCCAAGGGCAGGTCGTCTGGTGGAGGAATACTCTCTGGGTTTGGCAAGGAGTCTGTAGAATGCGTGTAAGTTAGGGACTGGTATCGGCAAGGGCCAAACCCACTGTGTGTGAAAGTGCTGAGATGTTTCCAAGAAGGGTCTGACAGTTCCGTGAAAGGAAAGTGTCATCATTTCTGCTGAGCGACTGCATCTTTGGCTTGATTGCTTGGTGATTAGCATGTCTGTATCTGCTGCGGAAGCTGTTTTCCCATGTGAGCTGAACTATGCTGCTGACCCTCTCTGAAAGATCGTGGTCTGAGCACACTCCCACTGTCCCACGAAGTTCTTTGGCAGCACTTTGTCCTCTGATCAGAGCTCATGAAATGGGCTTCTCTTCTTGTGTGTGTGGTAGAACCTGCTGGGGAGATGGAGGTAGGTGCTACCTAACCATTAAGCCATCAGGTGACCTAGTGAGGCAGTCAGGAAACATTTTCCTTTGGGAGTGTGGGATGGACAAATGGTGGAAGGGCTTGGGAAGCCAGACCTTTGCATGAGGAGCTCTTTTGCCCCCATGGTCAAAATTGTAGGCAAAATGTCTTGGGTTCCCTTTGTGTAGGAATCCTTATATGGAACAAGAAGGGCAGCTTTTAGCCCTTGCTCTCTTGCGTTTTCTTCTGCGCAATCTCTCGATCGTATCCCCAGTCATCTACTAGCTGGACAGTTAGATTTCACTCCTGCCAGACAGTTGTTTTTTTTGAGGTCACAGAAACTCTTGTGACCCCCCCAATGGGGCCCAGGCTGAGAAGGACCATTTTGCCTCAAAGTAAAACTTAAACATCCCCCTCTGGCTTAGGCTTTTCCAGGTTACCTCAAACTATGTTAGCTCCCTGACCCTCCAAATGCTTCCATAGTACCTTACACTCCCCCCTTTGCATTGCTCAGCACACTATTGCAGTTGTTTCTTTGTCTGTTTTTCCTCCTGGAAGACCAACCAAGACCTGTTGACATTCAGTGGATCCCACTTCATGGGGACACCATCAGTCAGAGTACAAATGTCCTCCATAGGGTTTCAATGTCTGGTTTTTCTAAGGGAGATGGCCAGACCTTTCTTCTGGTCCCTGAAGGCAGGAAACCTCTATCTCTGGTGTCCAACATGTTGATTAGAGCCTATTGATTATTTATTGAAGTCCCTCTTGTTGGGGCCCCATGAATACTAAAAGGGTGAAACTCATTTACGCACCATCAGCCTAAAGCAACTTCTTTTTTTAAAAAAT